GTTAATATAAAATTTTATATATTCACTTTGGAGTTGATCCAGTACATTGAGTTCGTCACCATCGCCGCTTGATCCAGCGTCCATTTCATTTGCGAAGAACTCAATTGCACTGCTTAAGATACGTTCGAATTCTTCTTTGGCATGGTAGTTACTTGATATATTATAGATGTTCGCATATATGTCAGTACTCACTAAGTCCATCATGTTGACATATCGTAGACTAAACTCCATGCATACATCATTGAAGAATCTTTTTCGTGCTGCTAATGTCGTCGGTACAATCTCGCTGTACGGGTTAATACTTTACTTGGTTAGACTGTACCTATTTAGTTAAAGCTTTTTATAAAAAAAAAATTGTTGTTGACGGGAGAAGGGTTGTGGAAAATGGGTATTTTTTTCATAGCTTTAATAGCAGATGATAAACAGGTCGATCGGATTTCACACTTTTGCGGTATAAACGATTTGAATTTGAATTTTTTTAGAGTGTTGAATCTAGGTACCCTTTTATATCAAAGGGTATTGTGGGTGTCTTAGTTACATACTTTTCTCGCTATTTTCATGTATGCTATCTGTGTACTTTATATTTTTATAAGTCTTTAATTATTACTTTAATGTATTAGTCTTAATGAAATATTACTTGTTCATTATTACTACACAAATTGTGTTGGTTCTTGTTTTGTCTTGAACCACACAAATCGTCGAAATTCTACGCTGTTTTTTTTTGTGTGTTGACAATGTTTATTTATATAAGTTTTCTTTTTTTCAGTTATAAACAAACTGCAACGCCGATAATAAAAGTGGTGCGGTATTAAATCATTTGGTCAATTAACAAGAAGTAATATTTGTAGGCTATACGATTTCTAGCCAAAAAAATAATTATAATATTAAAATGTTTTTCCGAATTGCAAGATATTGTGCAAAACTAATAATAACACATATTTTGGCGGCCAAAAAGAAAATACATATAATATAATTTTTTAGACGCTGTGTCGCGCGTTCCTCTAAAATTGCAACGAATTTCAATGCTAATACGAGGTAAGAATTTCAATTGTGTTCAATGTCATGTTTGAAAAGCTGTTGTTATTCGTCTGCGTTTGACGAAAACAGTACGGTATATAGTTTCTAGTAAAAGGTGATTTTGGCATTAAAGAATGAAAAAAAACATATTATTCATTTTTCATCATTTTATATTATTTAGTCCACCCAATTTTGATATATTTTTATCAAAAATAAATGTATTAATTTTAGATTAACTAAAAACTGTGAAAAAAAAGGTCTACCATCTCAGAAGAATTTGAGAGAGCCTTAGTTAACCAATCACCCTGTACAACATGTATTAAAATATTAATACTTTGAAAAAATAAAATGCTAGTAACAGTATTGCTTTTATATCCACTATTGACTAGTATATAACTATGGCTGTTCTAAGTATGATGATTATTATGGCGGTGCTTTAGCCGAAGTAACGAATATTATTACATAATAATTTACCTTTCCGGCAACTTAACTTACCGAAACAATTTGAACATTTATATTTCTGTAAAAAATGTATAGCACTTAAATTGAATTTCATTTTTACTTATTACAATAATAAACCGTAGTGATTAATTACTAATATTTTTTTATAATTTAAGACACAATATGGGTAAAACAAATATTTGGACCTTTATTGTTTTCTATTCATATTTTTAGTATATACTTTCCTGTTCTCCGTTAAACGATAAACTTTGTAGCTGTATTCTGAACAAAATTAGATTACGAATTCACAGTCGGGTGTAATATCGTTTTAAAATTTTGATCAATAATTTTTCAATTATGCCAAAACTGTTATTGAACAATTACCTACTTAAGCTTCTTATTTTTATTTATGCATTTATTTAGTACATCAATACTGTGTTGTACAGTATCTTATGAACCTAGACAACAAAATGTTGTTAATTTATAAATATTTATTTAGTAATTAATATTTAATTAATTTTACTTTTATGTTTATTCAATAGTTATGATATACGCTAGCAATATGATGCTTCGTTATAATTTATAGCGTCTCCAAAAATGAATACATTTAGTACTTTTTCTAAGAAATTTAAAAATAACAATTTAGTCAACTAATTCAATTTTATAGTAAATTTGTTTTCTTTAAAATAATAGTTTAGGTAATATATTATCCTTTTTTTAAAACAAAACCAAAATATTTGTCTCTAATATAGCAATAAAATATGCTTCTTAATAGCGCACTAATTTGAACTTTAAATATTACTTTTTAACAGTCGAGTATAAAAAATTGTTTTGTCTTCAAAATAACAGGATATTTCGAAAAATATTGGGGTTCCTACTTTAATTTCAAAAGTTGATAGTGCGCATGCGCAAACTGCATAAGGTTAACATTCAGATTTGGGCTTAAAATGTGCGTTAAGATTCACTAATAACATTAAAAATTTTTAATTTAAATAAAAATAAAAAGCTACTCTGAAAATCAAGGGGTTCCAAACTTTTTGAACACCCTGTATATGACCATTTCAATTTCAAAAGTTATAAGCGCTAATTATTAAAACTCAGTTACTCGAAAAAGTGTCATTGTTTTCTTTTAAAGGCATGTTTTTGAGTAGAAAACGAGACTCCAAAATAAAACTTTAAGTAGAAATATTCTATTGTATTAGAGTTAGTCATTAACTTGAGTTTTAAGCGTTATTATAAACATAACATAATGATATAATTAACAAGGCTAATCAATCAAAATATTTTAGAATATCGTTAAATCATACTAATCTAATCATAAGCACACACTAATGGTCAGTTAGGAAGTTAATACAAAAAATTAATTTCTTTTAATATAGTTATCGTCCAGACATTTTTGAAAAAAACTCCTATTTAAAAATGTAAAATTTGTATAACAAATAATATTATGTGCACAATATGACACTGTATCAGATTGAATAAATATATTTAAACTTTTAAGGTTTTGCTGTCAGGTTGTAATTAAGGCTTATCAACGTTTTATTATTATCACGAGGCAGAGTATAACAATTAAAATTAGCAAAATTGCGACTAGTAAAGAATTTAGAAACAAACTTTGGAAAAAGCCAGGGCTTCTATGAGTCACTTGTTGTGGCTTTTTCTGTATAGTTTCTTTTTTCGGAGTAGAGTTCTCTTTCATATCATCGCCGTCTTTGCTATTCGGTTTTTTAACCTTGATATCATTCTTTGTTTCAGCATTATAATTGGCAACTTATAAATAATTAACAATTATTGTGTTACTTTGAATAGGAGTCTGCTCATTATTTTAGAATGAAAATCGAATCTTGTGTCTGTTCTATTATTAAATATTTGAAATGAGTTAATTAAAACGATTTATTGTTTCCAAAGTTATATTATATTTTGTTCGTAACAGCCATATAAATAAAATAACGTTTAACTACATCGTTATTGTTCTAGATGACAGGGAGTATCAGTGTAAATATTATCACAGGCACATACCTGAATTCGTCATGAAGTTTACATGAGATCGGTCAGAGCACTTTTTAAATTTTTAACCCTTTCCAAATTTTAATTTAAAATTGGAAATTTTATAAAGTGTTTAAACGCGATTTATACGTAGTAGGAATAAGATATCAAAAAAGTATGCTGACCGATCTCCGATGGGCTTTGATGTTGATGACTTTGAATGTCCCAATTCCATCATTATGGCTGACAACAATAATGCAGTGTGTTTGTTTTCCCAACATTTTCGTCGCGGTACTTGCTTGATAATTTTAGGTCCAGCGAAATTTTGGTAATACTGTATTCTGCCACCGTTTAAGGAATGTCTAAGCTGAGTAAACCTCTGCTCTGGAACTTGGCCCTTTGAACTTTGTAACTTTTGCAACTTTAAGATTTTTCCCTTTACTTCCACTATAATAACTACCTTTGTGCCAAATTTCACATTTCCACCTATACTGGGATGTGCCTTGAAATTTTGTCGATGAGTGAATGAGTCAGTCAGTAATAAAGATGCAAACATTTAAATAAGAAATTCTCCCCTTTTTGAAAAGGCTTAATATGAAAGTCTCGATTTTTTACAGTATTCTAAGCTACCCAAGCTTAATTTATGTTTTAAATTTCTAGAGCCCATTTTAAAAAGAAGCAGCGATATGGGAGTGAGAAAACCTAATAAATGGGTTCGTGTAAAGATACGTTGGCATGCTTCCTGGAACTTCGACTGGTCCACTGCCGTGTGTTCAGATATTTAGAATAGGCATCGAAAAATGCCAATTCTATTATGCTAGTTTACATATAGTTGACTTTTACTATAAACTCAAAAAAATATATTAAAACCAGTATATTTAATTTAACAAAGATGATCTTTTATATAATTGGTTTTGTTGAGTGTAACTACCCAATGTACAATAATAACGTAATACCCTAGTCTTTTATTTATTTTTTTTAATTTACTCATAAAGTAAATATTTACAATACTGCATATTGAACATAAACTAGACCGTTTACAGATTGACAAATGTACATTTTTATCAAAAATAAGTCAGACCATATTATACATTTTGTAGAAAATAGTACCCACTCCTACGCCCAAAACAGAATAAGTTTATTTAAGTTAACTCGTCTTAGAGTACGACGGCGGCGCAAATAAGTCATAGTTTAGCCTAATATATTAGTATTGGTGAATAGTTAGTATACTTCATCATTTTCATCCTTAACCGCAGACAACGACCATAGTAAACTATACAGGTAATCTCTGACTAGGTCTAGATTTGGACATTTTTACCATGATTGTACCGAGAACACCTGATAGTGATTAAGAAATTAATTGTAAAACTATTTTTTTATCAATAATGAAATTTTAATTAAAACTGTAATAATGTAAATAAATCAATATTACGTGGTAAACAAAGCAGGTGGATATTTTTTAAATTTTATTCTATTAACGAATTATTATTATTTTAATGATATCAGGCGTTATGTTTATTCTTCAAAGACATTAATTTTTCTTAATTTATCATCATTTTGGCTCGTGGAAAACCAAATATTTTTTTGACATTTTTGCTTTGTGTCCGGTTCAAACCAGGGAGAATATTATAGGTTGCCTATTTTTCCTTTTTTTTTTGTATCATCCAATGTTGATTGAGGATCTCTTATATCGCTAACTACATTTTTTTCTGCGTATTGTGGATTAATAATTTCCGGGAGTAAACACTCAATGTAGAACCTAAAAAATCAAAAACTGTTAAAATAAAATATTTCAATTTTTAGGAATTTTTGAAATATGACGCCGTTAGCTTACTGTTGTAATTTTTGTACCATTTGGTCTTGCCAAAACGAATCGTCGTAGGTAATTATTTCTACTTCGGCCCAATGGTCGGTATAAACTACAAAATAGCAATACTTTCTCTGGGTCATGTGCAATTGTCCTTGGATTTGATAGTAATAATTGTGATTTTTTTTTAATTCTAAACGCGTTGATGTCTGACTAAACGTAATCTGTAAAATCGTTTTAAAATTATCAAGTTTATATAAATTAATTATTAAAAATTATGATTTATTATTAAAATTTAAAATATAAGTTGTTATCATATTAAAAAATTAAAATTGCCTTTTTATTTAGGTAGATATCTAAAAGGTATTTAGCGGTTGACAATTGAATCATGTATGGATGTATAGATTTGAATCATAAGAAAAACAGATATATCAATAATGATTTTATTATTACTATAACTAAACTTAAGATGCTTATTTTTTTTTACCTAAAGGAGTACCTACATTCCTACGGTATGAATAATATTAATAAAGTTTTTCAGAAATGCTTAAATTTTTTGGATATACTATTTAGCCATCTAATCGGAGGATAAATAACAGTGATATTGGTTAACTTTCAGCCGAATGCGGGCTGTATAAACTTAAATATAGATAATGAAAAAATATATTTATTACAAAAAAAGCCGCTACAGTGGGGTCGGGGCTTAGTGGGGACGGGAAAGTCTCAGGTTTACAGGAATTTTTTAAATCTGAAAGTGATAAAATCACTTTTGAAAATGATTTTATTTACTTTTATCACTTTTATTTATGATAATTCCTGTAGACCTGTGTACTCTCCGTCTGCTTTGATCCCATTATGCCTAAACTTTACTGTACTTGTCTTCTCGGATAAAATCAATTTCAAATTAACGCTTTGATGCTTATTTGTAAATACAGCATCTCAATTTAATACTTTCTAACTTTGCTGGTTTACACTGTGCTTTGGTTTGGACTGTACTGGCTTGAAAATATTAACTACCGGGTTGCAGCGAAGCGTTTATTCGAAAGTGATTTTATTACATTCAGATTTAAAAATTCCTGTAAACCTGTTACCCTCCCGTCCCCACTATGCTACGACCCCACCATGCTCAATTAAAGAAAAACTGTAATCCCGAATTTTTTCTTTGTTTAATAAGTTATGGATATATATTAGTTCTAACTACTGACAATTTTTCAACTTAACCGTCATAAAATTACGGTTAAAAAACCCAAAAAACTTGCACACCCGGGGGGGGGGGTGGCCTTCTAGGAGATTGGGAAATGGGTATAATTTAAACTTGAGACTCTTTACGAGTGAGTGCATACGAAATAAATATTCCTTATAAATTTCAACTCGATCCGACTCTTTTTCTCGAAATTATAGCCAGTAAAATTTCTAACTTTAAATCTCGTATGGTTTTTTCAAATTGTATTCACTCAAAGTACCAACTAGATGAAAGTTGTGATTAATAGAGTTGCTACTCGAAGGAATAATACATACACACACAAAAAAAACCCACATAATAGAAAAATTAATTGCATCTCTCCTTCGCATCGAAGCTTAAATCCAATTACACAATTCACCAAATTGATAGAAACCAATATTTTATTTTTATAGATTAACAACTTTGAACTCCTGTTTTTTTTTATAATATATGATATTTTAATTTGCATGAAACACATAACATTATTATAAATAAACAAATGTACAAAGCATAGACGTTTTATAAAATATATATTAATTTAAGATAATATAAAAATTTTAAATTGACGGTTAAAAAGCTGGTAAATTTTTTTTCAGGATTTTTCGTTTTTTAGGATGAAGGTGATTACTTTTGACCTACCAAAGTACTAATCACTTACGATTTCACACTACTCGTGTAAAACGGTCTACAGGAAAAAAAGATTTCGTTTTTCATGTCTTGAAGATTCTTAACATGTTATTTTCGGACTATATGACTATTTTGTACATATTCATAACTTTACTTTTTTGGTTTTCACAGCCTCAGCAAAATCAGTAGTGTCCTTTGATGCAAACGGACATTTCACTTCCACGACATATTCTTTACCTACTAAACCGTCTAAAAAGTAGAAATTGTTGAGCCATTAGAGATATAAAGGAAATCCCGTGACATCGGTGTATGATAGGTAATGTTTACTATAGCATGTGTTAATAGGTAGTATTAAAATTTTACACCGACTAAATTAGGACAGTAAATCATTTGAGAAATAGCTATTTTTGTAACTTAATTGGAAAACTCTAAATTTTTAATGTGGTACAATTAAAAAAAAAAAATCTATTTCGCATTTTATATGAAGTATGGTTCCCGTAAAAACAGGTTTACCTGGAGAGGCTGCCAAGTACGGTAAGTTTTTGTCGACAACTAGGCCGCATGGGGTTACAACTACGTGCATCTTGTCTTGTAAACATTGTATGGCTTTGGGTTCCATTGCTTTGCCATGATCGATCGCTGCCGACTGAAAGGTGCCGTACATAAGATCACAAACTATCGACTTGCAGGACACTGTCGATGTTCTCTTACAAACCCGACCGAAATTAGACGCGGTTAAGCGTTTCCGTCTTTCTGTATGCCACAACTGTGCGTTTGCTTGGTCCCTGGTGTTCTTTTCCAACTTTGTGCGTCTATACTTGTTCAATTTAAGCGAATCCAAGAATTGTTTTGTATTTTTATCAATTTCTTCAACGGAGGAATGGTCGTGTTGCATTTGCGGATTTGGCACTACATTGTCGGCGCCTCGGCGAGACGCCCTAAGATTTTTCGAAGAGGTACTCAGTGGTCCAGATATTTTGGTCTCCATCAACTCGGTGTCTTCCTTTCCAACTTCTCCTGATCAATAATAATTCATAACGATGATCACAGCACTTTGTATTAGTTGTAAATTATCTAATAATTAATTAACTATCGTAGCCTCTATTGAAAAGCATTTGGATAACCTATTATTTAACGGTATGGATAAACAAGAAACATACAAATATTTTTTGACTTTTCTCGATTGCCGAAAACAAAAATATTGAATCATTTGTTCACCAATAATATTATTTTTTAAGAGTTAAAGCAACTAAAATATTAAGCAATCAATTGGTAAGTGAATTGAAACATTTTCTAAAAAAAGTATTATTTGATATTATCATTATCCGGATGGTAAACAAAAGAATCTTAACGTTGTAATTTTTTATCAAGCGGCAATAATGCGTTTACTAAGTTATTTTTAAGTGTACTAAAAATATTAATTGAAGCTGTTGGCTCTTTACTTACTTGAGGACCGTAGACATGATGAGACTAAAATAAAAAAAATGTAACAACTAATTTATAGACGATTAAATCAAAAATCACATAATATTTTTAACAAAATCAATAGAAAAAGTATATTATGTTTTATTCATAGGTTTTTTTTTTGTTATACTCAACAGGGAGAAAATTAGTTATCTATTTATTTTTGTATTAAAATACACGTCAAGTACTTGCTCATGATTTTAATTACTTTAATCATTGTGACTATTTAAACATACATTTTTAAAAAACAATTTTCTAAGGTTGGTATAACCATTTTGTAATAAATAATTGATTAAACTGAAAAACACTGATTTTTTTTGTGTAGAACTTGTCGTTAGACATAAAGTTTGCTATTATTATAATCCCGGATAGCAAAAAAAAAACGATTGTATGCATTTAGTAATTTAATTTTAAACATACTTAAATGTTTTTAAAATTAATTTTGTAAAAAATAATTTCTAATACCACTATTGGAGAGCTTACTTGAGTTCGATAGACCACGTTTGACTAAAATTAAAAAATGACGTCATCCATACAAACAAATTTGAGAATTCAATAACCACACATAATATTATTACATTTAACGAACGCCTTAAAAAATTATGACATTTTTTTGGTCTAGCATTGAAATAGTGTTAATAGTTTTACGTTTGGAAAAAAATTAAGTAGGTATAGGTACGACGTTGTTACTTACTTGTGCTCGGTGTACAATGTGTGGCTAAAATTTTAATGTTAAATATTATATTAAATACCTATATCAATATAATATAACGTTATAGTATTATAATAACATTCCAATCAAATTATTACCAACGATAATAGCGGCGACCAATATAGTGGTATAGTAGACATCATTTATTTTCATCTTGTTGAATGTCTATAATATAATAATATATTCGTATAGATCCAAATAAGTAACACAGGAAAGGTACAAGACAAAAGAAAACCGTACAGTAAAACGAGTACAATGGTACAATACTAACAATGGGACAATATTGTTCTAGTATTAATTTTTGGTACCATATTTATTATGTATTTATTTTGTATTTTGCAATAATGGTTTTAAACGAAAACAACATCAGCATATACGTCGGGTGAACTAACGTTTTACATTGCAAAATATTAATACTGTTGAGAACCTATGTTATTTACTCAGATGACTTTACAATGGCGTTAAAACATAAAAAACAAATCCTATTGTATGTTACAGTAGGCAATCCACATTTTACTTAATACGCAGAAAAAATAAAAAATAAATTTTGGTTTTTTTATGGGTCTAAAAGTAACCAAAAAGGAACTTTGTAAATCTGCGAAGATTTAAATAAATACATTATATGACTTTGTATACTAACAAAAACATATCAAAATGTGCCCACTCGTAATAAGATAAAAAATATAATTCTTCTCCATTAAATCCTACATAAAATGCAATAGTAGAAATTTCAAAAAAAATAGAAACGATAATCCAAGTATTAAATGGTTATCGACTCTATTATATTTTTTTTTAATACCTAATAATATTAATTAATTTTTTTTTGAAATAAACGATTTGTTATAAACCCGCAATCTATAAACATGTTGAACTGGAAACTATGTAGTGTAAATGAAAACCAAAAACAGAACGACACATTTTATAAATAAAGACCACAAAAATTAAAAAACATTGTTTTTAAATAAAATCAAAAATATTACAATATAAAAAAATATTTGAATAAAATCCGAAAATGGCATGTTTTTTATGATCTCATGTACCTATTGAAACAATATAAAGATATATGGCAAATTTATTCATCTTAGAAATTGCTGACAGTCAACATTTAAAAATAAAAAAATCATTTAATAATGAAAACTTCCGGGGCTTAAAAAAAAAAGATCCAGGCTGACTGATGGAGACTTTTAGTAAATTAAAGTACAAATATCAATAAGGATTTTGGAGAAAAAAAAATTGTGGTTGGAAAATTTGTCCGCTATTATCCTGTTACAAATAAAAATGATTGGCTATTTTTTTTTTTGTTTATGATTATTATTTATTGACAATAAACACTAGGTCTTCGTTGAGTAGCCTACCAATGTACAAGATACATATACCAATGTATAAGAGAATTTTACAGGACACAATATTGTATTCATTTTTAAAATAAAATACCATTTTTCTACACCATTATTTGTAAATTATATTGGATAAGTTCATTAAAACCTAAATTAATTTTGTTTAATCATTATTATTTAATTATATTCTTTGTATTTATTATAACTCAAGATACAAGGAAAGACTTATATAGTTATCCTATTTTGATTTATTTTGGAACAACGAATCATTTTCTTTATTCAACCTATATACCCGTAATATATAAAAATATTATATATAGTACCCATACAAAGTATAATATATATTCAGAAAATATCTATTTACCAATTACGCATGTACAAAAATGTTACCCACCAAAAAAACGAATAAAGAATAATAAATAATTTGTTATTACAATTTTTATTCCAATAATACCAACATAGGTTTATCTACCGTGTCGAGGGGACGTGTCATGCCTTTTTTTCCCTAATCGAGAAATTAGTTTACAAAAAATAATATAGTCGTTGTTTTAATTTTTTTTTTTTTTGTTGAAGTAAAACCTGTAACTTTAAAACGTCCATTGGAAACATTTCGTTTAATAACATGAGTGTGTAGGTACATGTATGTATTATTGACCGTGGGGCGGCCATGCCGTGTATATACCTTGCGCCACGAGAGAAGTAACCCGTTGCTCGACCGAAACGCGTTCGATTCCGCGCATCACCACCGATAAATAATTATATATATATAATTGATAAATGACAATATAATATAATCATTCACAATTATAATAAATTATATACTCTATATACAATCACTCTGTATATCGCCTGTTTCGCGCTGTATGCACGCCTCAGCGCGACACTGAATGGCACAAAGTGGGGGAAATGGGACCTCGGAACAGTCGTGGCCGTCAGTCGTGATGCGCGAAACGGGTTACTTTTCTCATGGCGCAGAATATAGGTTACCATGCACGTGTTGTGTTTGATAATCTGCAACGGCAACAGGTCGCTGTCGGTATAATATTTTTGATTTACATTTGCTTTTTAGTAGTAGACGAACCGTCGTGCGGTTCAAATACGATTACACGGCGTTGGTTCGGCCGTATTTTAAAACACCAACAATATTGTTATACACCGCGTTTAGTTTGTTTTTTTTATTTATATTTTATATTATGCACAGCAGTCGGACCGCCGTTTAGGTAGGTAGGTAGGTCGTGTGCCGTTGCAATAATTTACAAATGCTATTGTTCGACAACGCGTTGTGTAATATCATTCGTTATTATTTTTTGGCTTATGTAGATAAAAAAATTAAAAGAAAAAAAAAACTCTAACAGCAGCATAACAAAAAAAAAAAGACAATGAACCGACGCTTGGCCGCCGCCACGTTCGGCTGGGGTCGGCGACGACAGCCGAACACTGCCGACGAAACCAGATCGGCCGGTTTCCATCATCAGCCAAAGACGACCGGCTCCGACCGCCGCGTTCCTCTGGTGGTGGTCACGGGCTGCGACACGGGCCTAGGTTATTCCCTGGTGGTCAGGTATTACTGTGGTGCCAGTACAGCGGTAGGATCGGATGCGGTGCCTGGCAAAATAGCCGTCGTCGCCCTTTGCCTGGAAGGAGCCGAACGCCTGGTCGACCGACTGCATCGACTGTCCGACGAAGGGTATAATGTATACTATTACATTATTTATATGATGCAGGCAATAGTGATGAACAAATTGCCGGGAATTTCATTTAAATATTCAAATATTCCCACTATCGGGAATTGATTGAGAATATTACAATTTTTATAAATATTGTTCATATGTTTCGATATTTAATTATACTTATAGTTATAAATATTATTCGAATACAAACATTATTATAATTATATAGACTATAAAACGATTTGGTAGCTCAAAAAATATACTTGAATGCACTAATAATTACTAACTAACAAAAATATAAATATATAATATGAACATTTGAAATACATTTTACACTATATTTTTATAAAAATATTACCAAAACTAAAAAAAAAAGATACAACTTGTCATAAATCTTTTAAAAATAATAATAAAAATGAATACCTTTATAAGTACCTATAAATAAAATAAACAACAGTGTTATAGTACACTAGGACTTATAAATTAACTTTTTTTTTTTTGAAGGAATATTCCGAGAGGTAGGGAAATATTTCTAGTAGCACATCACTAAAAGAGAATTTAAAATTAAAATAATATGTACTAACTTATTTTTTTTTAATGTTCCTATTAAGATACCTTATCTAACCAAAGCATAGGTTTTGCATAAAAATAATTTTGACTCAGATAACAGGTAAATTTTTTAATAACCCTAACATTATCACTATCTGTTACAAAACAGCAGCAGTGGCGGATGTTATGGCACTGGCGATGGAAGTTACAGTAGTAACAGTAAGTGTGATCTGTACGCGTGGTCAATGGATTTGCGCGATCCTCAAAGTGTTCGTGAGACTGCAAACCGCATACAGGACCTGGTTGAGACTCAGAACTACAGTGAGTATAAGATATACTTGTAAAAGTCTTACGATAGCAATTACTTACTAAGTATATTTCATATAGAAATGTATTCAAACAATGAGGCCCTAATAATACTCTAACAGCGTATACCCTAGAAATAAGCGAGTAGAAAAGACATTAAGGCGATTATACGTAATTAATAAAACATATATTTAGCCATAACATAAATTTGATACAAAAGATGTTTTAAAATAAATAAAAGTATTTCTACATAAAAAACAAAAAATGTTAGCTGTGTATTAAAAAAAAAAAAAATTACAAAATATTCCAAGTTCTTTCTAACTTCAAAATAAAAGTTAAAAACTTATCGGTTGTAACGACCAATGAAACCTTCAATTATTCCCACACAAGAAGTTATATGTATTTTTTAAAATACTTTAATAACATTTATCAATATTATAAAAATGACCTTGAATCATATTTTAGCAGGAAATTCAATAGGTACTTCAACAACATAAGTACATCAATAACATTTCCAAAGTATTATACATTTGGACTTAATTACAATGACTTATTTAAGACCCTTTAATAAATAACAAAAAAAAATGATGATATTTTCTACCAAACTTGAAAAAATATTAATGTTTCTTTATGTGCTATGCAAATTTCCTACATTTCTTCCCGATTAAGTTATACTTTTACATTGGACACATATCTGAGATGAGTTCGTGAGGTTTTTTGAACTAAACTACCTCAACCCAGAGATCAAATTAAACAGTCAACTTTAATTTCACATTTTAAAAAAAAACCAAGGCGATTTTTGTATTTTTATATTTTTCTAAACGTTTAGCTTAATTAATTTACTTAAAGTTATTTCAAAAAAAGTTTTTTTTATTCTAATCGAATTTTGATTCGCAAATTATATATATAACCGATTCTTAGCATATTATTGTTTCAACGGTACTAATCAATAGTATCAAGGTCTTCGTATGGGTGTGCTATACCACTGTTCAGAGTACTATGACCACGGTTAATGGTTTACACTTTTTATTTTTAGAATTACACGCGGTGGTAAATAATGCGGCTCGCATGCTGATGGCCGAGTACGAGTGGCAAACGACAAGACTTATCACAGAACAGTTTCGTGTAAACGTTCTAGGCCCAATGGAATTAACGTCATCGCTCTTACCTAAAGTGCGTTGTGACCGAGGTGAGTCGTGATTCGTAGACTTCCATAGACGTAGCTTGATGAAGTCGGGGGAGGGGTAGGGGCTATGGAAGTTCATAAAATTCAAAATCATTCAAGCTCCCAGTGAATTTGTTTTTACAAATTTTCGTCAGCTTTGAAGAGAAAGAGGTACACTCTAAAAAGGTTTTTCCCTCTAATTGTAAGTACAAAAAAAACAATAATTCATCAAGCAAAGTAAATAATACGAGGAAAACTCATACGTTCAGACGGCTTGGACGTGAGTGTTAAACGAGTTAGGATATAAGATTTTGGGACGAAGAAGTGAGTGAATGTGATGATATTTAGAACTGTAGCTTGGGAGACTCACGAGGAGTGAAGTGTATGTTAGAGAAATTTAATTTTTTTTTTTGTTCAGGACGGATTATTAATGTACTGAGTCATTGCGCTTATGGTACCATTGCCGGGCATAGCCGTTTATGGGGCTACAAAAGCAGCAGTGCAAGCGTGGACTTGCGGATCTCGAGCAGAAAACGGTGGCGTCAGTTGGATTTCGTTTTACCCAGGTATGGTATTTTATTGAATTACATCGAACCTGGACAGTATATAAATAATAATTCAAATAATTGTTTAAACTATTATTGTTACGTCTTTTTTTTAACAAAGACCCAATTCAAATAAATGTATGTTCAAACAAATTCAAATAACATCTAAAAAGCCAGTAGAGTGGGGTCGGGTCATAGTAGGGATGGAGCATATTGGGGCGGTGAGGTCACAGGTCTACATTGGTTATTACAACTGAAAGTAATAAACACTTTCAAATAAACGCTTCGATGCGAATCTGTGGTTATGTTCAAACCAGTACAGTACAAACCAAGTAAGAAAGTATTAAAGTAAGGTGCAGTATCCACGGATTAGGATTTAAGCGTTTATTTAAAAGGGATTTTATCCGAGTAAGTCAGTAAAGAGTGGTCTGGGAATAGTAGGGTCAAAGCATAATGAGAACGGAGAGGTAGTCTACAGTGTACTACAAGAAATAGGTCAAATTTTTATTTTAAATCACTTTTAAGTAAACACATTGATCCTAATCTGTAGAGACTGTACCTCAATTTAATGGTTTTTTACCGTGCTTGGTTTTGACACTACTGGTTTGACTACAGATTTCTTTGATAAAAAAAACTACCACCCCTTCTAGGGGAAAGCAGTGGCGTCATTTGGGGGGGGGGCAGGTAGGGGCATTTGCCCCACCCTTAATTTTTATGGGCTGGTCAAATTTTCGATACATAAGGACGTAAATTATCTGTTTTTTATGCAACTACCTACATTTACTTACCCTATAATAAATCGCCTGAACTGACTACCAAGTATAATAGGTATGAAGGTTTATAATATTTGTATTATCACTGTTTTGTATCTAAGTGTTTTGGAAAAAATATTTATATTTGTAAATGAACAGTGGGCCGACAAAATGTTGCCCCACCATAAGAAAAACTGAAATGTCGTTCCTGGGGAAAGGTTTTGTGACATATGTTTGATTTGTCAGTATTTATTGGTAGAACTATGTCTAAAAAATATTTCATACAAATTTGGAAGGTATTGACTGTTTTAAAAACGTTTTGGATGTTTTTCTCGATTTTAAAATGGAAAGAGAATGCTTTTTTGAAATTTCCATTTTTATTTCTCGAATTTCAGGATCGTTTTACACGCATTCATCGATTATGGGCGGCGGAGGCAGACGTGACGGTTACTACGATGAAATGTCGGAGGCGTTAACCGACGAACAAAGGGAGCACTACGGTCAGTATATGCGTGCTTACAAGGAGTACTTGGACATGGTGGACGTGGCAGTGCCATCTCAAGACGAACCTGTCCCCAACATTGACTTGTACAGATTTATGGACCATGCGCTGTGGTCGACCCGGCCTAAAGCCGAATACAGGGTGCCGGAACCGTGGCGTTACCGTATATACTCAACATTAGCGCATGTGTGTTCCGCGTTAGGACTTCACGGTTGGAGAGACCAACTGATCAGACGGTTCGTCTGTACGCCTACGTTCGTTAGCAACAGGAACAAATCAGCATAGGCTACATTGGTGATGGGAATAATCCGGACTGGCGAGAATTCAAGAATCCAAATTTACCGATTTTGAAAGTATTATTTTATACAAGGGGGTCGCAATAGCCAATAAGTGATCTTAAAATGAAGTAAGCGAATAAGCGAGTTCCAGTGTGACTAGACGACGAAATAACCTTTTTTATTGTACATATTTCTAATTATTTGTTTCATTACAGCAACCAAATGATACAACACATATTGCTTTTCAGATGTAATATTACACACTGTCATATAGTCATATGCAATTCGAATTTATCCAATGATCTATATAGATGGTAACTATTTTACTGTACAGTTTTTAACAACTTAATAAAAGTATTTATTTTTGTTTAAAGTGGTCACACTGTCGCTCGGCTTCTTGACTACTTCATTTCTGCTGACATTGTATTATGATATAACAACTTTATACATTTTTACTCTTACTATCATTTTATAAAAAGAAACTATACTTACATTCGTTTATGCATTTCTCGTGATACGAATCACAAACTAATTATAAGTTATAACTGTACATTTATCTGAAAAAAACAAACACAATAAAAGAAAAAATCTAAACCAGGGCCAGCGCAAGACATAGACAACATGGGTATATTGCCTTGGGCGGCATTTTCCAAAGGGAGCAATTAATTTAAACAATTTTTTTTAATAACTAATTATTTCAGATAAAAATTTGAAAATGCAGCAAAATTGAAGTGGCCTAAGTTGAAATACTGTCTATTGCCGACTCTGGTCGAAACCATAAAGATATATTATTTTAATTATGAACTTAATTTATACATAATAATATCAATTATTTGATATGAAATAATTACCAACTATTATAAATATCAAAATGGATTAAGTATGAATTTTTGAAAAATAAAAATATCTTTATAATTTATACTGTACATAATATGTGTATAACATATTGTATAACTAACAGTAAATAGTAATATTCGGATTTTTAAATTCAAAACATAACTTTAGGAT